CCATAGAATTTAAGTGAAAATCTGTGAATTTAGGAATTCCTGCTTTGGGATCCCCACTTCTCCTTTCTTCCCTGTAAAATGGGGGATGGGGGACTTTTTCATTAATTTAAGAGAAAAATTCCTTGCTGGGACAATATTTCAGATTTCCCAGCAGGCTCATCCTGGATTTCCAGCTTTTCCCCTTCTTCTTTTTTGCGCTTTGCTTTGCTGCTGTGAAATCCTGGGATTTGATGGCTCAGGGTTCCACTCTGAGGGAATTCCCAGGAAAATTCCCTGTGAATTCCTCTCTTTTTAAGATGTTTGGGGAATGCTGCTGATGTTCCCAAAGGATCTCTCAACAAAATCTAGGTGAGATTGCTATGTGGGAATTCAGGCTTGGATTCCTTCTCCCATCCCAAACATTCCCAATCCAATAACTCCACAGCTCCTTCTCCTGCTTTATTTCCCCCAAATCTGAAAAGCAGGAGCCTTCCCTTGTTTTTGTGGGAAGGCAGGGTCTCCCACGGCTCCTCATCCCTGCTCTGCACCGGAGCATTCCTGGTGTTGTTCCCCGAGCCAGAAAAATCCCTTTGGCTGCAGCCCAAGCTTTTGTTCCCGGCTGGATTTGCTCCAGAGCCACATCCCTGTTCCTCCACACCTTCCCGGCGGGAGGAAGGGCCGGCACTGCTCCTTTCCGCCGGCTTTTCCTGCTTTTCCGCCCTTTCCCTGCTTTCCCAACGCCCCGGATAATCCGTGATCCTGCACTTTGCGTCGTGCTCTCCTTGGTTTTCCCTTTATTTTTCTCCTGCCGGGGTTTATTTTGCCAGAGCAAAGCTCCTCGTGATCCCGAAAGCCGAGTGCCGAAGGCTTGGGAAAGCTGTTGCTGTGGAAACGGAGCCCAGGGAAGTTTTTCCAGCTGGGATAAAACCCCCGGAGGGCTCCAAAGGATCTGTTCCTATCCAGGCTTTTTTTAGGGAAGTCCGAAAGGATCCGGGGTGGAACGCAGGGAACGTGCTTCCCACGAGGTTCTTTCACCTTGGAAAATGTTCCTGGAGGTTCTTCCCAACAATTCCAGTCCAGGGATTGAAGCTGGTGGTCTGGAAAAGATGGGAATGTCCAGCCTGGAAAAGAGAGGGCAGGGATGGATGGGATGTTGGGAAGGAATTCCTGCTGGGAGGGTGGGGAAAGGCTGGGATGGAGTTCCCAGAGAAGCTGTGGCTGCCCCTGGAAGTGTCCAAGGCCAGGCTGGAGCAGCCTGGGATAATGGGATGGACATCTCATGTCCCTGCCCATGGAATGGGGTGGGAATGGGATGATCTTTAGGATCCCTTCCARTCCAAGCCTTTTGTGCCCATGGGTTGAGGAAATATTGGGAATTCAGCCCTGGGAATAGCCGAGTCCCTCAATCTCCTTATTCCAACCTGTGCCGTGCTCTGTAGTGATAAAAGCTGGGATAAGTGGAGCTGAGCAGTGTTTGCTGTGTCCATCCCTGCTGACAWTCCTGGGAAATCTGGAGCTGGTCCTGCTTTCCTTCCCTCTTCCTTCCTYCCCTTTTTCTTCCCGCCCTTTTCTGGGGAATGGGAACAGCCATGGCTCCATGGGAATATTTTTGCCAAATATTTTCTTTATCTTTTAACCCCTCTGGATAAAATTCCAGCAGGAAYGAGCGGCATGCAGGCTCTGGAGCATGAGGAGAGGAAAGGAATGGGAAAGGACTTGGAGTGTGAAGGGACTTCCCACAACTTGAAATTCCATGGATTCAAGGGTGGCTAAACATTACCCAGTTCGGAGCTCTACCGGAAAATTCCAGAAGGYTCTTCCCAGTTTTTATTGAGTTTATGGAGCATTTATTGAGGAGGGAATTCCTATAAGTATCCCAAGGTTATTATGGACTTAAAACTAAAAGCAGGAAATTAAAACAAAATTAAATTGGAATTTTAGGGATGATTGTTGTTGTTTTCCCTTAAAAAAACTGGGAATATTTTCCTTGCCCTTGGAGCAGGAGCTGAACCTGAACGATTCCAGCCCCTGGCTCTCTTCCCTGTTTGCTTCGAATGTAATTTTTAACCTGGATTGTGGAATAGAGTTTGGAAGTTTGGTTGGAAAAGGGATCCAGGGAATGAGTCAGCAGTTCAGTGGGAAACATTCCTGGTCCTGGCAGGGCTCCTGAATAATACCAGGATCCTGGAATTGGTGTTGGCAGAGGGGCTTTGGATAAGGGATGGAGGGATGGGATACAGGGACTGGATCCCACTRCCAAAGGGCAGGGATGGATGAGATATTGGGAAGGAATTCCTGGCTGGGAGGGTGGACAGGGACAGAGGTAGAATTTCCAGGGAATTCCATGGCTGCCCCTGGATCCCTGGAAGTGTSCAAGGCCAGTTTGGAGCAGCCTGGGACGGTGGGAATTGTCCCTGCCCATGGAATGGGATCATCTTGAGGATTCCTTCCAATCCTTTTGTGCCTTGAGGAAATGCTGGGAATTCAGCTCTGGAAATGGAGAGGGCCAAAATCTCCTTATTCCCAATCATTTTCCATAGGGATAAAAGTTGGGATGGACCTGTGAAGCTGGGCTATGTTTGCTGCGTTCATCCCGCTGACATTCCTGGGAAATCCAGAGCTGCTTCCGCTTTTTTTGGGAGTTTGTTTCCTTCCAGGATTCTAGAATTCCATGGCTGCTCATTCCCAGCTCCTCACAGACACCATTCCATGTCTGGGCCTGCCTGGATAATAAATCTCATCAGGAATTCCRCTGCTTTTCCCAGGATCTGGAGGCATAAATGGAGCCTCTTTCCCTATTCCAGAGAAACTGGGTTTCTTTTGCTCCAGTGTTTTCCTGGAGCTGGAATGAATCCCTTTGTTGTGCTCATCCCAAAGGATAAATTAGGGAAAAAAGGTGTGAATTTGCAATTTTTTTATGGATTATCATCACTCATTCCTGAATCCTTTCTTATCCCTGCTCTTCCTATAATTCCCTTCTCCCAATGGAATCATATCCCAACTCCAGAGGATTTTGGGGCTGTTTGCTCTCCTGCTTTTCCAGGGAAGCTCAAATCTGGTGGATTATCCCTTTTTTTTTTCAGAACAAGGAGAGCGAAGAACCTGAGTCCAAAATTCCCAGAGAAGATGAGGAAGAGGAGTCCATCAAGCACAAGTAATTCCTTCTTTATTCCCACTTTTCCCTTGGGGCTGTATTTTCCAGTTTTTTTGGGTGGATTTTCCTTGGCTCTGGGCAATTTAATAGGGATTTTTCAAAGGAATTTGAGTTCCTGGGGCAAATAATTTGGGATGGGGGATGGGTGGATTCATCTCAGAGGATTTTCCAACCTTAAAAATTCCATGGATAAAGCAGGAAAACCTGGGGCTGAGTGGGCATTTCCAGAGCCAGCAGGAATGCTGGGAGCTTCCCTGAATTCCCAGCCATTGCTGCATGGATTAAATGGGAATTGTTATTTTTCCATGGATTTCTGTGGGTTTTCCTTGGAAAACAGGAGCACCAACAGAGCTGAGGCAGATGCAGCTGATTCCTTAGYAATTTTCCTGCAGGGAAAACCCTACTGGGGCTTTTTTTTGGGATAATGGGGTAATATTTGGGTGGAAAACATGGAATGGGACCTTTTCCCATGGCTTTATCCCTAAAAGCCTTCTCCATGGGAGATGAAAAATTAATGAGGAACCAAAGGAAAATCCTCGCTGTTTTTTGGGAGTGACTCTTTGGAAAAAGCACATTCCTGGTGAAGAACCCACATGGATTTGGGGTTGGAAATGCCAAATTTCTTGGGACAGGGAACTTTCTGTGGTTGGAATTTGTGCCGGAAGAGGCTCCAGAGGTGAAACYGGAGCTCGGGATCCTGGGAAGGCTCCTGAATAATGGATCAGGTGCTCTCGGATTCCAGCCCCACCACCGGATCCCGGAGCCCGTGGAATCTGGGCTGTCCTTCCTGTATCCAGGCACGGCTGCTCCCACCTGAAATTAGGAATTCATCCTCCARATCCCAAAAAAATCCAGGTTTTGGGCTGGTTTATCCTGGGAATTGCTGCTGGGATTGCCAGAAGGCATCTGAGGGGCTGAGTTTTGTTCCTGGTGTTTCATTCACGGGGTTTCATTCCCGGCGTTTTATTCCCGATGTTTTATTCCCAGGGTTTCATTCCCAGTGTTTTATTCCCGGTATTTTATTCCTGAGGTTTCGTTCCCGGGGTTTCGTTCCTGGTGTTTTATTCCCAATGTTTCATTCCCTCGTTTGGCAGCACTGGGAAATGGGTTTTCCTATGGATTTTCATTCATCCAGTGGCAGATCCGGCCAAAATCCTTCCCCTGCCTCGGGATGAGAAATGGAATCCTGGAATGGTTTGGGCTGGAAGGGACCCTAAGGATGATCCCATTCCATGGGCAGTGTGCTTCAAGCCCCGTGCAGCCTGGCTTTGGGCACTTACAGGAACTTCTGGGACTTCCAGGAACTTCTGGGAACTTTCTGTTCCATTGGCTGCAGGAAGGACAAGACCCCCTTGTCTCTGGCTTTCCCAACACTTTCCCCTGCCTGTGCTCCCATATTTTTTGCCAATTCCTGCTTTGTTCCCGCTCCACTCAAACCTCCCCATCCCTTATTTTTTGTGCTTTTTCTTTCCTCATTTTCCTGCCAATTCCGAGGGCAGAAACAAAGCCCTTCAACCCCTGCTCTTCTCCCAGCAATTCCAGCTCTGGTCCCCGATCCAAACTCTGGGAATTCTCCCTGGAATTGTGGAAAACTTGGATTATTTGGATTTTTATGTGGTTCCAAACCCCCCGGACCAGGAAACRGAGCTGCTGCTCCGCCTTTCGCAGGAACAGGGTGTGGGAGGATTTTGGCTTTTCCGCCTCATTCCCACGGGRGAAAAACACTGGATTTAGGAATCAGGGACCTGCTGGAGTCTAGAATTCCCATCCCACGGCCCTGAGCCTTGGAACTGGGCTCCTCGTGCCAACAAAGCTCCTCAGCGGTTGGAAAAGTGAAACTAAAAATCCAAGGTAAAGCTTGGAGAGGGATGGGACAGAAATAATCCTCAGTTTTCCAGTTTGAGGAAAAGTGAGTCCCCTCTGAGCTCTGCTGCTGGACACGGAGTTATCCTTGGAAATCACAGCTCCCTGGATTTGGGGGAGGAGCGGGGGTTGGGAAACCCGATCTCCCTCAGGAATTTCTCCCTCTGGAATGTCACCGAGCAGGTCCGGAGCGCTTTTGTTTGTTAATCTCTGCCGAAAAAATCCCTCCGGGATTCTGCTTCAGAGGGGGTTGGGCTCGCCAGGAAAATCCAGGACTCAATGCCCTTCACCCAGAGTTTGGAAATCTCAGGGAAGGGGTTGAGGATAAGAGAAAGCATGGAAAAAAATCAGGATCGAACAGGGAAAGTGGGAGGTTGAGCACATTAATGGGGGAGGGTTTGATTGACACCTCCCTGGATCTGCTCCTGCTGGGACACGGCCATGGAGCATCTCCAGGAATCCCATTCCATTGGGAATGTGCTCAGCCCGTGGCAGGGGGAGGGGTGGGAATGGGAACGAGCAGGGCTGGGAGCTGTCGCACCTTGCTCCAAGCTGGAAAAGGGAAAACAGAGACTGAGGAGGGTGAATGCACCTGGAAGCCAACCATCGGGTCCTGACTGGGAAAATTCCAGAGCTGCTTCCATCCTGAAGGTTCTTACCCCTGTTTTGGGCCTTCCTCCCCTCTGGAGCTGAAGAATACTGTGGATTTTCCCTCTGGATGGAGCTGTGCTGAGCTCTCCCTGGAGATGATCCATCCCTTGGGAAGGATCCATGGAACTTCCATTGATCCAAAGCTGGAGAGGCTGTGGGTGATCCCAGCTTTTCCCTCCCCCTGTTCCTGGGAGCAGGAAGAGCACCCAGAGGTGAAACCCTGCTCCTTCCCTTGGCTCTGCATTCCCTGGATCTTCCCCTGCTTTTTTTCCAGGAATCATTCCTGGGAATTCGTCCAACTGGTGGCATTTGGGACGTGGATTTTTTGGGTGCTCARAACTCCAGCTGCTCTTCCTGGGGGAGAATTTCTGGGAATGGGAGCAAGGCTGGAGGATCTCTCTGCTCCCAATCCTTGCGCAGGATCCATGCTGGGGTGATGGATCTGATCCTGGGAATTCCAGCAGAGTTATCCTGGGTGTTGCTTATCCCATGACCATCCAGATACTCCCCAGGTGCCTCCAGGGCTCCTTTGGGTTGCACTTCCAGGGTGGAAGATGGGTTTGGATCCATCCCAACCCGGAGGAGCCGCGGGAAAACATGGGTGAGGTTTGTCCCTGTGCCAAGGTTGGTGTTCCCAGCATGGTCRGGGTTGGAATCACCCACCAGGATTCCCCGCTGCCCATGGAATGTGGGCTTTGTCCCAACTTTATTCATAAACAGTGGAGTTCCCGGGTCAGGTTGGAGCAGCCTGGGACAGTGGGAGGTGTCCCTTCCTGGGGGTTGGAATGGGATTATCCTTCAGGCTCCTTCCAGCCCAACTCATTCCAGGGTTCCATGATCTCCATAGGTTTTTCCTGCTGTTCCTGGAGGTGAAAGCCTTGTCCTCAGGGAGCTGGATTGGGAAGCTGCTCCTGAAGCAGCTCCAAGTGATTGTTCTGGGAATAACTATGGGAGTGAGGAACCCGAGACACCAGAAGAAATCCCTGTTCCAGCTTTTTGTGGCAAACCCATTCCCAGAGCTCCTGCCACAAGGATTTGGGCAGCCAGAAAGCTTGGAAAAATCCCTGGAACTGTTTGTTCCCTGAAGCCTTCGGGGCTGGAGCAGGGAAGCCCAACCCAACCTCTCCGAGGGGCCTGCTTTCCATCCAGATAACTTCGGGCATTCCGCACATTCCCAGCGTGCCCGTGCCAAGGGTCTGCTCCCAAAAAAGCCAGAATCCCTCCTGCTTCCCCAGCCAGGAGCTCCAGGCCAGGGGGGAAACATGGCTTTGGGGCATTCCCGACCCAAAACGGGGAATGTGCCAGCCCTGGCATTGTCCAGTGCTTCCTTCTGGAATGCTGCAGCTCCCCAAATCCTCCCAGCTCCTTTTTGGGAAGGAATTCCCTGTGAGGGTGGGGAGGGGCTGGGACGGAATTCCCAGAGAAGCTGTGGCTGCCCCTGGATCCCTGAGAGTGTCCAAGGCCAGACTGGACATTGGGGCTTGGAGCAGCCTGGGATAGTGGGAGGTGTCCCTGCCTTGGCCCTGATCCCAAGGGTCCTTTCCATTCTAGAATTCCATAATTTACCTCAGTGAGGTCTTGGAACACATCCAGGAATTCCCACCAGTCCCATGAGTGGGCTGGACTCTTGGCCAGGAGATTCCTGTGCTGGAGTGGGAATGGTTGGAAGTTCTGTCTGTGCTCCAGTGACTTCCCAGGTTGGATTTTTGGTGTTTCCCATAAAAACCAGGTATTCTGCTTCCCAACCTTCCTCTCAGCTTCTCTTGGAGCCTTTAATCCCTATTAATCCCATCCTCAGTGATTTAATCCCATCCTCAGTGATTAATGAGCTTCACCTCCTTAATTATCCCTGTGGGCTGAGCTGTTCATGGATCCCGCTGCCTCCAGAGTGTCCTTGGGTCTGTGGGAGAAGCTGGAGGTGGGATGAGCTCCTGCAAGCTGGATTTTCCAGGACTGTGGGTTTGGGAATTCCTCTTGAGGCCTGCAGGATTTGGCACCAGGGAGGAATCACTCATGGGAATGAGGGTGTCCAGTTATGGCCCAGATTATTTGGGACAGGTATAAMAAAACAGTGGGAATTATTGGAATATCAAGGAATTGTGGCTCCATCCTGACTCCTGAGCTCTCCTGGAGGAGATGAAAGCATGGAAAAGCTTCCGGGTGATGTTTGGTTTCATCATTCCTTCAGCTCCACCATCCTTTTATTCCAGAACCTGGATTTTCCCCCTGATTTTAGCACTTCCAGAAGTGCGTGGATAACCACCTTGGATCCTAAATATCCTTTTTTCCCCTGTCCTTCCTCGAAAGACTTTTTTCCATGATTTTGGATCTCCTCCAGGGTTTCCATCCTGAATATCCCAGTTTTGAGGCCCGAAAGGTGGGAGCCAGGTGGGASTYRGGTTYTTCTCCCAGSGAACAGGGACAGGATGGCAGGAAATGGCCTCAGGCTGTGCCATGGGAGGCTCAGGTTGGATACTGGGAGTATTCCTCATGGAAAAAGTTATGCAGCCTGGCACAGGGGTGGAATCGCCATTGCTGAGGGATTTAAAATCCTTGGATGTGGCTCTTGGGGTCRTGGATCCATGGCTGGATCAATGGCTGGATTTGAAGATCTTGGAACCTTTTCCAACCTCAACAATTCCATGATTTTGTGATCTCAGCTGCTCCTGACTCTTGATTCCAACATCCCCCTTTTCCCYGAGTGCCCACTGGTGCATCCTGGGCTTTTCTCACTGCCCTTCCCTCTTTCCCAGGGAGATCAAGCTGCGGAATTACGATCCCGAGGATGAGGAGCTGAAGAAGAGGAAGCTGCCCCCAGCCAAACCGGCCTCAGGTGGGAGCAGCGGGAATGTGGAAAGGGGAATGATGGCTTGGAATGCTCTGTGCTCTTCCCGAGGTGAAAGATCCACCCGGATGAGGTATCCATGGAGCCTGGAGGGTGTTGGAATATCTGATCCCGCTGTGTCCCTCGTGTCACCCTCACACCCAGCATTGCACAAGAAGGGTGGGAACACTCCCAGGCCCTCCCTGCAGGATCCTCCYGGAAATTCCGGATGGTTTTTGTTTGATTCATCTTGAAAGAAATCTTAGTCTGGACTTGAGGGCGTTGGAGTTTCCTCACCCGGAACTTCCAGAAATCTTCTGAGGGGGAAGTGAAGGAGTTCCCTCGATCCTGAAATGAGGAGTTCTCCTGGAATAGATCCCTTGGAAAAAGCCCTGAATCAAAAGGGAGGSCTGGGATTGGGTGGGTGGGAATTGTGGCGCTGTGCTTTCCTTGTGCTTTTGTAGGGGTTTAAAACTTCCTCATGACATGGAAAGACATGAAAAGGCTGGAGCATGTCCAGGGAGGGGAATGGGGCTGGGCAATTCCTGAGGGAGCTGAGAATGTTCATCCTGGAGCAAAGGAGGCTCTGGGGGAACCTTCTGGCTTTGCACAATTCCCTGATGGGGGCAGGTGGGCTGTGCTCCCGGGGAACAGGGAGAGGATGAGAGGGAACGACTGGGGAAGTTCAGGTTGAATATTGGGAMTATTCCTYATGGAAATGGTTGTTMAGCAGTGGYGGAGTCCCATTCCTGGGGGAATTTAAATCCCTGTGGATGTGGCACYTGGGGGCATGGATCAGTGGTGGCCTTGGCAGTGCTGGGAAYGTTTGGACTYGATGGTCCAAGGGGGYTTTTCCAACAGAWATCGTTCTGTGATTCCATGAAATCCATGTGCTGGAGAGGGAATTGCTCCGTGGTGCTGCAGCCCCTCCCTGGTAGTTCCCCACGAGTGTTTTCCCATTATCCCCAATATCTCCAAACCTTTCCCAAGGCCTGGGCTGGAGCTCGGGTCCTCCAAAGTGTCCCAGGCTGTAAAGGAGTCAGGGAGAGCCAAATTCCAGACCTGTGGAGCAGCTGATCCCTGCCGGAGATGGGAAAAAGGACCTCAATCCCAAGGGGCTCCYGGCTGCTGTTGCCGTTTGTGGGATTTCCATCATTCCCAGATAATTTTTAGGAGTCTCCAGAACGGTTTGGATGCTGAAGGGATGTGTGGGCACATTGTTTTTAAGGAAAGCTGTGGGAATGGGATTTAGAGAAGCTTTTGGGAGCTGAGCCTGCAGTGYTGATGGCATTCCTAGTATTCCAATGCTGATCCTGTTTCCCCATCTAGTGGAGGACACRGTGAAGGACCAGCTGGAAGCTGCCAAGCCGGAGCCCATCATCGACGAGGTGGTAGGTAATCCTGGGGCTGGAATTCCAGAGTTGGAAATCTGGACCTGGAAATCTGGATTGGGAAATTCAGTGTGGGAAATTTGGTTCGAGATACCCAGAGCAGGAAATCTGGATCGGGAAATCTACAGTGGGAAATCTGGATCTGGAAATCCAGAGCGGGAAATCTGAATCAGGTAGTCTGGTGTGGGAAATCCAGAGCGGGAAATCCAGAGCGGGAAATGTGGATCAGGAAATCCATATTGGGAAATCCAGAGTGGGAAATCTGGATCTGGAAGTCCAGAGTGGGAAATCCAGATTGGGAAATTCAGAGTGGGAAAGCTGGATCAGGAAATCCAGTGCGGGAAATCTGGGAAACCCAGAGTGGGAAACCTGGATTGGGAAATCCAGAATGGGAAGTCTGGATTGAGAAATCTGGAGCTGGAAATCTGGATCAGAAAATCCACTGTGGGAAATCAGGATCTGGAAATCCAGAGCTGCTCCGTGCCAGGTCCAGGCTGGAATGTTGCCTTCAGCTCTCATGGGATGTTTTCTCTCCTTCCCTAGGATCTAGCGAACTTGGCTCCCAGGAAGCCTGACTGGTAAGTCCTCAGGGAATCCTGATCCCAGGAAAAGGCTGTTGGAATCAGCAGGGGGTTCCAACACCTTGAGGTTGTGTCAAGAATATCCAGAAAAACCTGATTTGGGGTTTAAAAACGCCAGGCAAATCCCATGGAAGGTTGGAATGAGGCCATCTTTAAGGTCCCTTCCAACCCTGACCATYCCATGGTTCCATGGAGTTGGAAAGCCAGCCTGGCTGTGGAGCAAGACACAATGCTTCCCTTTTCCTGCTGATTCCTTTGGGATCCTTGTCACCGAGGGATGGGSTTGGTTTCAGAGTGATGGCACTTGGGAAAGAGAAGGAATTTCCCCTGGGAAAGGTGGGCCCTGCCTGGCCATGGAATTGTCCTGACTTTGTCGCTCTCCTCCCAGGGATTTGAAGCGGGACGTGTCCAAGAAGTTGGAGAAGCTGGAGAAGAGGACCCAGAGAGCCATCGCGGAGCTGATCCGTGCGTTCCGGAGCGTGGGGGTGGGGATGGCTTGTTCCAGAGGGATTCCATGATCCTTGCTGGGAGCTCGCTGGGCCAGGGAGGGATTGGTGGAGCTTGACCCCTTCCTAAAGGATCTGGGGGGCTGTTGGTCCCAAGGAGCTYCCCAAGGAATCTCCAGGGGCACTTGGATGGTGCCAAGGGGAGGGTTTTGGGGTCCTTCACTGGGTCACTTCCAAATCCAATCAGTCTATCCATTCTCCATGGCATTTTTCCTGGCAGGAGAGCGCTTGAAGGGGCAGGAGGAGGAGCTGGCATCGGCTGTGGGATCAGCCAAGCAGGAGGGAAGCGACTCCGACTGAGGAGAATCCATCGGGAACGGGCCCCGGATCTGCTTCCTGCCAACCCCATGGYCCCCAGGTAGAACCCCCTGGCTGGGACTGCTCATCCCTTTCCCTGAACTTCCCAAATCCTGCCATGCCTGGAGRAGAGGCAGATCCAAGGAGCCTGGCTGGCTGCTGAGGAGCTTCCATGGAAAACTTCTGGGCATCACAGGGGGCTGATTGGGAGCAGGACAGACCCCCTTTTATCTGGAACTTCACAGCCAGGACTTGGAGCAGGGAAAAGTGGGAAAACTCCAGGCTGGGGCTGGAAAGGTCAATCCAGACTCACTGGGAAAGGAGGCAGGATCATTTCCCAAGGGATTGGTGCTCCTGCTCCTGTGCAAAGACTCCTTGAGGCTCTGAGTGTTTGGGAATATCTACGGCCAGCCCCAGGATTTCTGCAGGAAGGAAGGGCTGTGTGGCTCGGGAGTTGCTGGCTGCTCTGCATCTGGCTGAGTTTCATGTGAGATTTGCTTTTCTCCTGGAATTTCCCAGCCCTCCAGCAGTGTGTCCTGCTCCTCTGCATGTTTTTTATTGTCGTTAATGGATCTTTTCCTAATAAAACAATTCCATGTTGGAAAATGTCGCTTGTCCTGCAGAGGAGTGTGAGGAGGAGCAGTGGGATTGAGCCCATGGAGTTGGAGGAGCAGTGGGATTGAGCCCATGGGAATTGGAGGAGGAGCAGTGGGATTAAGTACATGGAAGTTGGAGGAGGAGCAGTGGGATTGAACCCCTGGCAGTTGGACAAGGAGCAGTGGGATTGAGCCCATGGAAACTGGAGGAGGAGCAGTGGGATTGAGCCCCTGGAAGTTGGACAAGGAGCAGTGGGATTGAGTCCATGGAAACTGGAGGAGGAGCAGTGGGATTGAGCCCCTGGAAGTTGGAGGTGGCCACAGCAGGTCAAGCACAATTCCTGGGATGAGCTGATCCCRGTTATTGTGTGCTCCAGGTTWCTGGAGGATGCCAGCTGGGAAGGGTGAGTGGCTGGGCTCTGCCAAGCTGATCTTTCATTTTCCCTGGAAAACATCGTTGTGGCTCTGGGACATCATGTGGGATRGTGCCTGAATCCTCTGGGTTTGATTCCAACGGGGTTTTATCCCTGGTGCTGACACAAGATTCCAGYTGGGATGAAAAGAGCTGTTCCCAGTAATTCCCACATCCTCCTGCTTTTCCTGGTGGAAGGAGCTGCTGTGGGGAGAGAGTTACTGGCTTTTCCATGTCCGCACGTGGGACAAGGTCATTYCCAAAGTGTTGGATCCTCTTCCTGGATCTGCTGCCACTTCCCACTTCTCCATGATCCTCAGTGAGGAATTCTGACCTGCAAGAGCCCCGTTCCTGCCTCCAGGGGATGCTTGGGAGCAAAGAGCAGGTGGAAAAGCCCCTCATTCCTCCATTCCCAACCTCTGCCCTTCTCCTTGGCTCTCCCRTTCCTGGTGTTTGCAGCCATTCCAGCTCCATCCTCAGCCCCTGGAGGGGCCATTCCCAGCTGTGTGTGGACACCAAGGATGTGGACACTCCATGGAGCAGTGGGAGAGCTGCACCCACCTGGGCCAGGCTTGGTGTTGGGATGTGCCTGTGCCTTCCTTCTGGATTCCCTCTGCATTCCCTCTGGATTCTCCAGTGGGAAAACACATGGGCTGGGAGCTCGAACRTTTCCCTGTGGGGCATTTTTGGGCTGTTTTTAGTGGTTTTCCCTATTTTTCCTTGGATGGGAAACATCCCAGTGCTTCTCACTCGTGCTGGGGCAAAATATTTCTGGGATATCAGTGGGAAGATGCCATCAGGGAAGGCTGTGGCTGCCCCTGGATCCCTGGAAGTGTCCAAGGCCAGGCTGGACASGGCTTGGAGCAGCSTGGAGTAGTGGGASGTGTCCCTGCCCATGGAAAGGGGATGGAATGGGATGAGCTTTAAGTTCCCTTGCAATCTACAGCAGTCTGGAATGCCCTCATTCCATGGAGCCATGGAATCTCTGGAATGCCCTGTAGGTGTCAGCAAATCTCCATGTCCAGCAATTCCCAACAGTTGGAATTGGGATAAGGCCAGGCTTCTCATTCCTGCCAGGGATTATCCGTCCATCCATCCATCCATCCATCCATCCATCCATCCATCCATCCATCCATCCATCCATCCATCCATCCATCCATCCATCCATCCATCCATCCATCCATTTCTCACTTCTTGAAGGAATAATTTTGACTCCTTCAGCTCTCCAGGAAGATCTCACTTGGAAATGAAAAATCACGACTTTTCTTTTTAGGACAAACAAATGAAACATTCTGACTTTTCCCTTTCCTGCGTGTTTTCCTCTTTTGTTCCAGGCTTAAATAAAGCCAGGATCAACCCCAGAGGCCTGGATGGATGCAGGGTCCTGGCATGGGATTGGGATCCCAGGATGGGAGTGGGATCCTGGCATGGGACACGGATCCTGGAATCGTACTGGGGTGCCAGCACAGGACTGGGTTCCTGGTATGGGACTGGGATCAGGGAGTGGGACTGGGATTTCTGTCGGGAACAGGGATCCTGACAGGAATCCCAGCATGGGAATGGGGTCCCGGTGCAGGAGAGGGATCCTGGCATGGGACAGGAATCCTGATAAGGGATGAGGATCCCAGAGTGGAACTGGGATTCCAGCATGGGACAGGGATCCTGGTGTGGGACAGGGATGGGAATGTGGTCCCAGCATGGGAACAGGATCTTGGCAYGGGACAGGGATCCTGGTGTGGGACAAGGATCCCAGTGTGGGACTATGGTCCTGGAATGGGACAGGGATCCTGGGATAGGACAGAGATCCTGGGGTGGTGCTGAGGTTCTGGTGTGGGACAGGGGTCCCTGCATCCACAGGAAAATCTGCTTCCTTTTGGCTGATTTGGAGCCTGATGTCACGGCCTTTTCTCAGGAAAATGCAGAAAACACCGACACGGCCCCAAACTGACCCCGGGGTCACATCCATCCCACAGGATCCTCCTGGCCATTCCCTCTGGATTATCCCCCACCAGCATTCTGACCTTTTAAAAAGTGGGATGTTTCTTTCTCCCCTCCTTGGAAATGCCACCCCCCACCCCTTTCCCTTGGATTCCCTCCTGTGCTCTCCACGCTCCGGCCTTGGAAGTTCTCCTGACATCCCTCTGCTTGTCCCATAAAACCCAGGCCGTGGGAAGCTCTTGGCTGGGATCAAAGGCACTGGGGTGGGCTGGAATTTGGCACGAAGCAGGAGCGACCCTGGAGCGGTTGGGATTCTCCAACCTGCTGGGATGATGGAGAGGAGGCTTCATCCTGAGCCTTTGGGATGGTTTGGAGCGGTCACACCCATGGCCAAGGTCCGGCTTTCAAGTGTCCATCTGCTGGGGGAGCATGAAAGGAATTCCCAGTGTTTGACAGCTGCTGAAATTCCTTTTGTGGTGCTCCCGGCCGGACTCTGCCCAAGCTGAGGGTTTGTTCAGCTCCCTGGTGGGATTTGGGATCGTTGCTGCTTCTGGAAGAGGATCCTTCAGCTGGGCTGCTGGCCTGACTCTAAGGGTCCCAAGCTTCCAAGGSAGGTTCCTGGGAATTTTTCCTTTGGGATGTCTGAGCAGAGCTGKAGGGAATAGTTTTGTTCCTTAAGTGTTTGGGGTGCTTGGAAAACRCTCGATTGTTTCCTGGTGTTGTTTGGGATGGTTGGGGGATGAGGTTTGGGAACTCTGGGATCCCTATGGAAATGGCAGGGGGAGAATGTAGGATTCCTGGGATGTTTCCTATGGCATGGGTTGCTCAGATGTGGGAATTGGGTGTCCACACATCAGAAATGGCCACTGAGGGGGTGGCAGTTCTTGGAATTTTTTTGGAACTTTCCAAAGGGATGAGATCCCCCCCCCCCAACCCCTGCAGAGCCCCTGGGGCCTGGCCAATGGAATCCAATGAGCTTCCAGACAGGAAAATTATCCCGGGGCTTTGCTGTTCTTTTCTTCTCCTGCCCCATTTGTTTAGCTCTTCCAGCCAGCGCTGCAGGAATTGCCTCGGGAAGTTTTCCCACCCCTGTGCTGGTAAGAATGGAGAATTTCGGTGTTGGAGCATCACGGTGCAGTCTCTGCTGGACACAGCCCATGAGATTCACTCCAGCACCTGCTCCAAATTCCAAGGAACACATTCCTGCTGGGATCAGAGGCTGTCGGATCCAAAGGTGATTCCTGCTGCCCATGTCCCCCTTCCAGCTGCTTTTCTGCCTCTGCTGATGCCACTGAAATCCCTGGAGCTGGGGTAATGGGAGCAGATTCCTCTGGTCCTCTCTGATCATCCTGTGTCTGTCATTAAGGGATGGTGAGTGTGGGAATTGTGTCCTCACACGATTGAAAGTCATGGAATCATGGAATGGTTTGGGTTGGAAGGGACATTAAAGCCCATCCATGGACAGCCCTGGGCAGGGACACCTCCCACTGTCCCAGGCTGCTCCAAGCCCCAGTGTCCAACTTGGACACTGCCAGGGATCCAGGGGCAGATACAGCTTCTCCGGGAATTCCATCCCAGCCCCTCCACACCCTCCACCCAGGAATTCCTTCCCAATCTCCCATCCATCCCTGCCCTCTGGCAGTGGGAAGCCATTCCCGGTGTCCTGTTCCTCCATCCCTTGTCCCCAGTCCCTCTCCAGCTCTCCTGGAGCCCCTTCAGGCCCTGCAAGGGGCTCTGAGCTCCCCCTGGATCCTTCCCTTCTCCAGGTGAGCACCCCCAGCTCTCCCAGCCTGGCTCCAGAGCAGAGGGGCTCCAGCCCTGGGAGCAGCTCCGTGTTCTCCTCTGGGTTCTCTGCAGCAGCTCCAGGTCCCTGTGCTGTTGGATCCAGGGCTGGGGCAGCTCTGCAGGTGGGGCTCATCTGGGGGGTCAGAGGGGCAGAATCCCACCCCCGGATACCTTTTCCAGCAGAAAATTCCAAACAAAACCCATTTCCTTGGCCCAGCAAGGCCATTCGCTTTTGCCATTTGGTTCTGAACAGTTCTTCCTTTAAAAATCCCTGTTAAAATGAGAAAACTGGGAACTGCTTCCAGCTCTGTAGGAATTTCTTCCCCCCCCTCATGTTATGATATTTGAAAGAAAAACACCCTGGGAGTTCCCATAAAACTCCTGCTGAATTTATGACGTGATTGTTAGAGAGCAGAAAATGTCCAATAAAAAGGAATTTTCACCAGGAGCCCAACCTCCCACAGCTCTTCCCGGGCTCCATCTGCAGTAGATGGAGCTGGAAGGAATAAAACATCTTGGAGAGGTTTGGAGATTGTAAAAGTTGCTAAAAATAGCAAATCTGTGCTGTAATTAATGAGCTTTTCCTCCAGGCAGGAGTGAGGAAAAGTGGAAGTTGCGTGAGCTCATCCCACCCAGGTAGCACCAGGAAAAGTTTGCTGTCCTTTTTCCCAGAGCGCTCCCTTTGCAGCTCCCTGGCTGCAGGATTGTGACCTATTGTTCCCTAAAATAATGACATGAAAAGAGGGAAGGATGCGGCGTTCCCCAGCGTTTAATGCAGAATGATGGATGTTTGGGAAGCTGAGGGTGGTTCTTGCCCTGGGAATACTTGGCAGAGTCATTCCTGGCTTGATGTTCCGCAAAACACTCCCTCGAGGTGCTGGGGCTACTGGGATTGAGTCCTTCAGAAAGCCAAGGAGCAGCTGAAGCCTGGAATTTCTTAAGGACCTGTCCATGTCTCTGCACGGAGCGAAACTCGGCAGCGCCAAAACGCTCCCGTGGCTGGAGATGCGAGGACCAGGCTCTTCCCGTGCCTGTCAGCRCTTGGAGTGGAGAAAAACTTCCCAGCTGGGCTCCGCTGGAGCCAGGCTCGGATCGTGCYGAAGGAAAAGGCAGCCCGGGAAGTTTATTAATGGAAATGCCTGGAAGCCTCGGGGAGGCCTGAAATAGCAGGAGAAGCTTCTCTTTCCGTGTTCTCCCAGCTGAAAAGTTGGGGCAGGTATCTGGGCAGCAGGGCTGTGGKAAAAGGATTGGGAATGTTCCTCTGAAGGCCCCACTGGGAGGGAACTCCACACTTCAATCCCACAGGGATTCCGCTCTCCTTTATCCCTGCGCTGCTTGAAAGGTGTGGAAATCAGAAGGGGTTTGGCTGACGAAGGAGCTWTGAGTTTGGGAGATGAGGGAGGAGTTTGGGAGATGAAGAATCTTTGATTTTGGCTGATGAAGGAGMAGTTTGGCTGAGGAAGGACCTTCGAGTTTGGCAAGACGTTGTGYCTGAACATTCCCACCTCCCACTGATCCAGTGGGGATGATTTTATTGCCTCTATTGAGGATGAAATCCTTTTTCATTCCATGGGAATAGTAAAGCAAAGAAATTTTAACCTTCTTGTTCCTTCTTTAATCCCTGTTGGAGTTCTGGAGATGGAGATTCCAACCAGGCATCTCCCTGCACAGAGATAGAGGCAGAGCCAGAGATTTTTGAAAYCCAGGGAAAAAAAWCTTCCTTGGACTTWACTGAGTTTGACCCAGAYCCATCYGGATCCYGTTTCCAAGCAGAGTGAGAAGYGGGACGGAAGGTAAATGAAACCAAGAACAAATGAAAGTGCAGTTTAATCAACAGGRAATGATTGAATTCCTGGGCTTTTCCTCAAAATCGGCTGGGATGAGCATCAGTGAAAGCTGAGGTTCCYGGGCAGCTGACAGGACTTTCCTGCCGTGATTGTTTGTGGGATCATGGAATGATGGAATTCAGGACTGGTTTGGATTGGAAGGGACCTGAAAAGTTGGGGTYGGAGCAACCTGGGATAGWGGGAGCTGTCYGTGCCCATGGCARTGGTGAAATGGGATGGGATTTGAAGTCTCTTCCATCCCAAAMCATTCCCTGATCCTATTCTGTGATCATTTCACCTCATCCCTTCTTCCACAGGATTCAATCCRTCCTGGGGCATCACCTTTCCCAACACACCTCCCTATGGAATGAAAAATTCCCTCCAGTTCATACATGACAACACCAAGAGCTTGGTGACTTGTCCTTCCCTCTCCTGCTCTTTCATCCCACAACATTCCAGAGCTTGGGAATCCTGCCTTGTAAGCATCTGCATCGGGATCCTCCCTTTCCCAYTAAAACTCCTCTGAAGGAGCTGTGGATAAGGGCTGCAGCAATTCCCAAATCCCGCTTGCAGCCGAGCAGGACCGGGCACAGCCAGCCAATGGCAGGATGCAAATTTATGCAAAGTGCCTCGTCCTGCCCCGGAGAGCTTCCCGCTCTTGACTGWGCTCCAAGCAAAATCCCATTAGGTCCTAAAAATTAATTTCAGGCACGTTTCCCTGGTTGTTTACAATTCGCCTCTCCGCTAATTCCAGCCGCATGCCGGGCCCCT